CAGTTTGCTTTACCATAGGCTAAGTAGGCTTGTCATCTTGGTAATTTTTAAGGAAATTGTTCCGCAACATATTTCGGTGGAATACTATGAGATGAAGAATGAAACCGAAAAGGTAATTTTTACACTTAACAGGTAGATTTAATGTCGAATTTTCACTGGATTCAGGATAAATATTGGATCTTTGAGAAACTGCCAGTTCTTCCAAAAGCTATTTGGCGGAATATTCCATTCGCTATGCTACACACAGAATGCCTTGAGATTACGCAAGTATGGGTACTATGAGCCAAAGGTTAGTCCCGGAAGAAGGCGGTTGTCCAGTTAAGATAAGCGCATACGGACGCGCGCGAGCGGTGCTCTCTATGGCACGCCCTATACTTGATCTGTTTGATCCACTTAATCCACTTGGTCCAATTAACATGTTTTGCTATTGGTAAAATTAGCGAACTGACCAATAACGGAGTGGATTTCCATTTGATCCACTTGATCCACTTTGCTATTGGTCCCTGTTTGAATTTACCAATAGCGAAGTGGCTCAAGTGGATCAATCGGATTGAGCCCTATTGTGTACTGCTCGACTGCCGCGTTCGCACCCGCTTCGCGACGATGAACCATCCTCCTTCATCCGGGATTAGCTTCTAAATAATCATTTTCTTGTTGACTATTTGATTATAAACATTTAGGGAGCTCAAATACCTGAAGAGGTTGAGAGGATTCTACATGAACTTGTGATTCACTCAATGTCTTTACAATTTGTCTGCCGATTAGAGGCGAAGAAAGTTCTCGAACTCGTCACCTTTACGTCAGGAGCGAGGTTAAGCATGTTTGAATTGTCTAAATCTATAGCCAGGTGGGTAATCCTACATTTTTAGCTTTAGATTTTTTTTCAAAATCTTTTTTCAGTGAATCTCTAATCCCGCAACGGTTATTTGATGACGGTGACGAGTTGGTATTCGTTGCCGATATGCTTTCGGATGAGTTTTCGCGATTGCTAAACTCGGCTGTCCGCTATGTTTTCATCACCTGCGAACGACTACGGCCGGAATTTACCACACTCCTCAAAGATTATATCGAGGTATGGAA